TTATAAACCCCCCCCCCCCCCCCCTCAACAACCAAGGCCTCCAATATAATATATAAGAAAATCAATCAATTGATAATTAAATAAGGAATCCTTAGCTAGCTACCTCTGGAGCTACTCTGGCAATATTAAAATAGAAGGAATTAAGAAACCTAACTTTGAAGACATCTGGAATATTAATTAGAATAAAAGGGAATGAATCAATGGACAAAGAACTAACTTTTCTTTGTTTTTCAATACTTTTGAATAAGGGATTTTATTAAGAAAGTGCGCACTGACTTTTGGAAACTTTTGGAAAGCTTCACAACTAAAGAGCTTTGGAAAAGTAAATAAGGAATAGAGAGTGAGTAAAGCAAATCAAAAGGCAAAGAAAAGGAAACACAGATTTAAAGCCTCAAATCTCTAGACATTATTCTAGGGGCCCCCCCTAAATAATGTCAGAAAGCTGCTTGCTGGACTACCCCCTTTGCTTGAATGCAAATCAAAAGGCAAAGAAAAGGAAAAAAGATTTAAAGCCTCAAATCTCTAGACATTATTCTAGGGGCCCCCCCTAAATAATGTCAGAAAGCTGCTTGCTGGACTACCCCCTTTGCTTGATTGATTTTTTTGTTCTTTCAATACTTTTGAATAAGGGATTTTATAAAGAAAGTGCGCACTGACTTTTGGAAACTTTTGGAAAGCTTCACAACTAAAGAGCTTAGGAAAAGTAAATAAGGAATAGAGGGTGAGTAAAGCAAATCAAAAGGCAAAGAAAAGGAATAAAGATTTAAAGCCTCAAATCTCTAGACATTATTCTAGGCCCCCCCCTAAATAATGTCAGAAAGCTGCTTGCTGGACTACCCCCTTTGCTTGATTGATTTTTTTGTTTTTCAATACTTTTGAATAAGGGTGTTTATAGAGAAAGTGCGCACTGACTTGTGGAAACTTTTGGAAAGCTTCACAACTAAAGAGCTTAGGAAAAGTAAATAAGGAATAGATGGTGAGTAAAGCAAATCAAAAGGCAAAGAAAAGGAATAAAGATTTAAAGCCTCAAATCTCTAGATATTATTCTAGGGGCCCCCCCTAAATAATGTCAGAAAGCTGCTTGCTGGACTACCCCCCTTTGCTTGATTGATTTTTTTGTTTTTCAATACTTTTGAATAAGGGTGTTTATAGAGAAAGTGCGCACTGACTTGTGGAAACTTTTGGAAAGCTTCACAACTAAAGAGCTTAGGAAAAGTAAATAAGGAATAGAGGGTGAGTAAAGCAAATCAAAAGGCAAAGAAAAGGAAACCCATATTTAAAGGCTCAAATCTCTAGACATTATTCTAGGGCCCCCCC